ATTTCCTATAGATGAACGCATTTACTCGTTCAACATTTCACAACTGCCAATCAACCCCTGCTCCAGAATCCATTGCAACAAAATAAATTGGTGTCAGCACAGTGGTTGATTACATTCAAAAGAAGGTGATGTCAGCGATCTACTTAAATATTCTCAAACAATGAGTGAGTGAGTATGCCTTTAACACTACTACAGCAATATCAGTGTGGGGGGAAACAAGAAATAGGCGTCGCACATAGTAGGGAATCGAACCCTGGACTGACGACCGAACGCTATAACCACTCGGCTATCCCATCGCCCCCCAACCAAACAAACACATATGGAAATAGTTTGTCATAAAGTGTACAAATGCCAGAGGTTATGTCTTGTCATGATTTAAGTCCACCCAGTAAAATAATTACATAGTTGTTTTCCTGACAACTTAATATCTTGAGCTATACTAACGTTATACTAAACATTCCGTTCTCATCCGAAACAATCATTAAACCGTAAGTGTCCGTCAGAGTAAATCATATGTTAATTTATGTCAAGTACTGTATAGGAGAAAAAAAGTCATAGGAAAAATAGTCATAGGAAAATAAATTTTATAAAACATCCTGTTCTCCATTTATTTAGTTTGTTTATACTGTAGTTTACATGTTTCCCTTTCATCGTCAATAATAAAAACATCCTGTTCTCCAGTTATTTGCAAAAAGTCACATGGTTGTTTCTATCATTTTACACAAGCTTTTTGGAAAAATAACAAGTCACATCCAGCTCCAAAACAAACTAAGAACTGTGTTTGGACAGAGTGGCTGGCCACAAGACTGTGATTCAAACTCTTCACGGCATTGGCTGGAACATTCGGTTAAATAAAATATGCTAGGACAACTGACTGATGTAGTGCTGTTGCAGATGGTAGTGCTATGATGATAGTGCATTTTATGATGTCATATATTTTACTTGAATGATTTCATACCAAAAGACGTTAACATATGGTACTTGTTGGTCCCTGCCTGGCGCTCGGCATTAATTGGTACAACAAGGACTGGTTGGCTCGGAGTCAGTATAATGTGTCTGAGTGGGGTAATCATGCTTCACTGCGGCTTGGTATCTCAGTGGGCTAACACTATAAAACCAGCTTCAGTCTGGGCTAGTACAAGCAGCCGCATATACACACGCATGCACGTTGTCATATGAGCGAAATATTCTCAAGCACGACGTTAAACCCAATTTCACCTCACCTCACCTCACTTGAATGATTACATTAATGTTATAAGTTAGGTTCAAATGTGGTAGTGCTGTTGATGATAATATTGTTATGACTTGTTAAATAAATACATTATCAATAGTGACCTCTTTGAGTTTATGGTTTTTTTCCTATGACTTTTTTTCCTACCCAAATCTATGACTTTTTGTCCATGACTTTTTTTCCTATGACTTTTTTTCCTACAACCACTGTAAATACAAGGACTTGTAAAATACTAAATACAATCTTAGTTTCAGGTTTGCGAGTGGTTGTCCTTCGATGTGAGCACTCGTACTGAGTGTTTGGTTGTTAACATAATGAGTGAGTGAGGATAGTTTTACGCCGTTTTAGCAATATTCCAGAAATATCACAGCTGGGACACTAGAAACAGGCTTCACACATTGTACCCATGTGGGGAATCGAACCAGGGTCTTCGGCGTGACGAGAGAACGTTTAACCACTAGGCTACCCTTTGAGTAGGCTATAATGAGTAACTATGTACAATCACTTTGTCTTAACGAGACTTTAAATAACAACCCAGATATCACGATGTGTCTGCTTGAGTTGGTATGATCACCCGAAGTAACGCAAGTCTCAAACGTTTACGACTGAGTAGAACCTAACACTTGCTTGATAACGATGTTAGCATCTACACCGAAACGTTGCCTAAATAACTTAAAAAGAAGTTGCATATTCATAGAATTGTCCCCGTCGCTTAACTTTTGTGAATATAACCAATGTCATTCCTTGCTTATGTTTATTATTATGGTTAATCTTAAAAATATGGATTTGGTGGCACAATACTATATTTCTCTTTGTTAGGATTTTCAAGAAACCCTTGGAATATTTATTTTTTACTGTACATGGAAGATCATTCTCAGGTTGAAATGGGAAAATTTCTCTGAACCGACACACCCTCTATACCGGCATTCTGTGCCGGTATCAACGAATGCCGGTATAGCGGCTTCCACTGTATTTGCATTTTGCCACTATCGGCTAATTCGTGCTTTCATTCTATGCGACGGTAACGGTATTATCATCTACACCGAAATGATATTGAAAGATTATAGAAGCTGTATATACCTAGATCTCTCTCTGTTGTCCTCACAAAACTTCTAAATGCCACTGGAAGTAGTTCTATGGCATTTGGACTCAATTCTGGTGCGTCTGTAGTGAGTGGATGGGTGGGTGGTGCTAGTGGGTGAGTGAGTGGATGGGTAGGGAAGTAGGTGGATGGGTGAGTGGGTGGTTGAGTCGGTGGGTGGGTGGGTGAGAGTGATGTGGATGGGTGGGTGAGTGAGTGAGGTGGGATGAGTGGGTGGGTGAGTGTGGTGATGTGGGGTGGGTGTGAGGTGAGTGGGTGGGTGGATGAGTGGGTGGGTGGTGAGTAGTGAGTGAGTCGATGGGTGGATGGGTGGTGAGTGGGTGGATGGTTGAGTGAGTGAGTGGATGGGTGGGTGGGTGAGTGAGTGAGTGGATGGGTGGGTGGGGGGTGAGTCGATGGGTGGGTGGGTGGGTGAGTGAGTGGGTGGGTGAGAGTGAGTGAGTGAGTTGGCGTGGGGAGGGGTGTGTGTGTGTGTTAAGATTCGGTGAGGTGCGGGGAGAGGCTAGAAGGGTCACATGGATCAGTATATCGGTTAAATCACTATCTATAAGTTTTACGCAGGACGACAGACCGTCGTTTCAGATGTTTACTTGTCAGGAAAATACATTAACCCAGTGCAAAAGAATGCCTAGTCTTGACAATCTTTAGAAATATGATTAGATTTGGTGCAAAGGGAAAAATCCCTGAAAGCTACTTGAATGAATCACTGAAAATCAATGGTGACACCAGGTTTTCGCTATTCGATCAATTGGAATAAAAAAAGACAGTATTTAAATCCATGAGCCCGGATAAGTTGCTGATAAACCCAGATTTGTACCCATCTTCACTTGTCTGGCACTTGAAAGGGAAGCAACTGTACGACCAGAAGGCCCCAGTGACAAGCGACCTGAGAAGGTCCGGGTTGGAACTGGTCTTGCATGTCGTAAGAGGCGAGTAACGGAATTGGGTGGTCGGGCTTGCTGACTTAGTTGACACATGTCATCCTATCCCAATTGTGTAGATCGATACTTATCACTGGGTTATCTGATCTAGACTATTACCGACCGGCGCCATATAGTTATTATTGGAATATTACTGAGTGTGGCGTTAAACAGCAAACCGAACCAACAATTTATCACATATGTATTTGCTGCTCTTCCTGTGAAACAAATGAACATTGACAAAATGGACCAACTGTAAATAAGATGGACCGCCGCCATATTGCTAAGTGCGGCATTAAAACCCAAACAAAGTGAAACGGGACAATCATGGGATAATAAAACAATGTTTCTTCCACTCAGTGGTGTGGGGTTGTTATTTGGATCAGCAACATGGACGATCAAAGTATGTGAAACCGAGCCTCGTCTGTCACTGTCCCTCAACGTATGGGACATGGAACATGCTCAATACCAACAGCTGTGTTCCAGACTTCTGAAATACTGGAGAAGACCAATTTCTTGACGTGATGTGTACCTCCAGATCTCAACTCTGATGCTTTTATGGCTACAAAAATCGTAAGACCATGTTCTGACTTTGCTCGTGTTGACAGATATGTCATTTCTTGACGTCTGGTGTCAAATCCAATCATTGGTTATGAGACATACAGATTTCTGGATCTTTCTAGATTTCATATTTACATACATTGTAGCGTCATGTAAACAATTACAGTCGTTGACAGATATGGCTTTTCTTGGCGTATTGCGTCAAAACCAATCACTTGTTATGTGATGCATATTTACATCAGCTGTGATGTCTTCACATTTGCATACATTGTAGGACAACGTACAAACGCACAAGCTGTCAGATATGGAGTAGTGAGTGAGTGAGTGAGTGAGTTTAGTTTTACGCCGCACTCAGCAATATTCCAGCTATATGGCGGCGGTCTGTAATATTCTGGACAGACAATCACGGCAACAGGAGACGATCTGCGCAAAACCGATGACATGTGTCATCAGCACATTCTTACGACAAGATAGTCGCCTTTTATGGCAAGCACATGAATCTACCCCGGACTTCACGGGTCAGGAGTAAGTTAGTGAAGTTTTACGTCTTTTAAATATTCCACAATATCAAGGCGGGAGACTATCACCATTGTACCCACCGGTCAGGAGCGAACGCTTTAACCACTAGACTACCCCACCGTCCCGACAAATATGGAACCAGGGTAATTAAATTTCTTGCTTTACTTTGACATGAACATTCAATATTATTGTGTGGTGGTATCAACTCATGGTTTTTTTTTCGAAAAGTACACATTTTGTATGACAAAGTAACAGTGGATCAGTCAGCAACTGATCAATTAACAGTGGATCAGTCAACAGTCAACAACTGACCAGTCAGTAATTGAGAATCTTGAAAATGCTCATGTGCACATTCTCGGAAGTATATGACACTCCATTTTGTGCAACACCCATAAAATCTTTTAACTACGGTTATAACGAATTCAACGGTCCACTAAGCTTAGTTCGATATAACCGATGTTCGTATAAATGTTTTAGCAGAAATATACAGCAAGTGGGTGAGGAAATAGGTCTTAATATCCGTCAGTTCGTTATAAGCGTATTCGTTACAAACGTAGTCTACTGCAGCTGACTTATTTCATAGCTCGGGAACTCGACTCGACTTGCTGATGATGAAATTGTAAGTCACCGATGTGTTTCCAACTCTGACAATTACAACCCAGACCTCTTACCTGTTGTAGCTGTTGACGACGTGGGTAGACGGGTCGTCGTGGTACGACGTGACCCAACTCTGACAATTACAACCCAGAGACCACTTACCTGTTGTAGTTGTTGATGACGTGGGTATAGGTGTCGTTGTGGTACTCGGCATGGGGACGAAAGCTTGCTGTTGCTGCTGCTGTTGTTGTTGCGGCTGTTGTTGTTGACCAGGAGTACCCCGGGGGATGTATGGGCGTCTCGGGAGCGGCATCAGCCCCTGCCCAGGATCCGGGGGTGGGGCGGTAAAGTATTGCACCTGTCCACGATACCGTTTCGTCGGAAATCTCGATGGGAATCCACTTGATGGGGGATAGTTCCGCGGGGCGTACCCCCTTGGTGATTCCTCGGGATATGTGTTCTGTGGCCCTCCTTGGTACGTTGACGGGAACCCCCTTGGAGCCTGTGGTCCGGGGTAGCCGCCAGATGGGGGTGCACTTTGGTAGCTGCTGAGAGCTGGACTGTTTTGAGATGCTCCGTTCTGATAAGCCGGTTGGGGAGGTTGACCATTTGAGTATCCGTTTTGGGATGGTCCACTTTTCGGTTGATACCCACCTCTAGGAGGTGGGCCTCCTTCATATCCACCTGACGGAACTGCATATGATGGCTGTGCTTCACCAGGATATCCTCCTTGAGGAGGTGGGGGGCCTCCTATATAACCACCTTGTGCTGGGGGTGGTCCGCCTGGGTAGCCACTTTGTTGGGGAGGTGGTCCACCTGGATAGCCACTTTCTGGGGGAGGTGGTCCACCTGGATACCCACCTTGTGGGGGAGGTGGTCCACCCGCATATTCGCCTGGCGGTGGCGGTGGGCCTCCCGGGTACCCCCCTGAAGATGATCCAAACTGAGATGGATTGTTCTGGTATGAAGGGGCTTGAGCGCCGGGATAACTCGACTCCGTACCGAACGTTGAAGGGTAGCCACGTTTAGGGACATTCGAACTCGGACTCTGGTATCCGTAAGGAGGGCTGTTAAAACTCGAGGACTGGAACATCGCGCCATTTTGATACACCAGACAGGCAGCTGAAACATTAAAATATTTGCTTCAGTGGTACGTCTTTGTAATATCATTGAGCATAAACCTTTAAGACGAATTGGTGTTTGATTTGTTGTAGTTTCACGCCACACAGGTATATGGCGGCGGTTTGTACATAGTCGAATCTATAGTCCGTTTGGCTCAAAAGCGGACCGATGAATTGCAATCTAAGCACGTTCACAGACAAAGTTATTTATTCATTAACCTGTGCTGTGCCGTCTCCATCCGTTCGCGAGCACCTGGCTGTCCCTTTCTCTGCACTCCTCCCTCGTAACAAATAGTGAACTGTGTCAATATTTTAATGATAGATTGTTAAACAACTTTTTTATTTTTAGGACAAAAATTCTGCAAAAACCTCATAGAGTTGGTATGATGTTTTGATTATGATCAGCGTTTCATTGAGTATGTTATGTTTATAAGTTTTCGAGTTAGATTGCAATTCATCGGTCCGCTTTGGAGCCAAACTATAGCCTAGACAATCTAATGGTTGACACCATGAGCACAGATGGACACAGCCGGCATGCGATGAAATGAGCCAACTAAGTCAGCGAGCCCGACCACCCAACCCCGATCCTTTTCACGACAAGCATTGATTGCAGAAGGCTAATTCTAAGCCAGATCATTAGGTGTAGATAAGTTGGTGAGATACGCTGGTTTGAACAATATTTCGGTTATACGAGAAGTAGGAATGCTAGAGAAAAGCTCCAAACATCAAAGTCGTAGACGTTCACCACTTTGTTGCAACCCGTGAGAGAGGGAATGCTGCAAATAAATCTAGAAAACAGGGCGACTCCGTGATCACAACAACCCGTACACGCCAAAGGGAAGTAACTGAAAGTACCGGTAAAAGTAACGGTAACCGAGACATCCGCTCCAACGTCAAATACGCAGACACATATACTCACACACCGATGTGTCGAACTCGAAGTAAAAGCTTTTTCCTAATTGAGTCATCAATCTGCGGTTGTGTGGAATCCCCGATAACTCGAGTACTTGCGTAGCGTAGATTTCACTTAAACCAGGTTTCGGGAAAGTTAAGCATATCGTACATTTTTTTGTTTGACTTGGATTTGAGAAAAAGCAAAATTATGAAGAATCAGAATGACGAGGAAATATCCCCAAATATGCTACCAGAGTGGCAACATTAGGCTTCCATGATTTAAATATTTCATTTTCTTCAGAACTGATTGTTCAGCAGGCCACTCCGATACAGGAATAGTTATATAATTTGTCACAAAACACACACTGTCGATGATAAAAGTTTCAACATCATACATGCAAAAAATCCCATCCTACTTAAAAGGAGTGCAAAGCGTCGTGTTAGAGTAAGATTTGCATGAACACGTTCTGTTAGTTAAATTTTTTTGAGGTGACAGAGTTGTCTTACCACAAAACATGGTGACAATATCAAAACATTTTACACAAAAGAAACAATTTGAAATAGATAATGAAGATTATCTTGGTAATGATGCCAACTACACCAAGGATCAAAACAAAAGGATCAAACTTGTAACTGAGCTTCTTCTACGGTATGCGATTTGTTTTTCCCTGGTGCCATAACATGTGCATTGCTAATGAAGAATTTTTGACAATTATTTTAAAGTTTCATTTAAAAATTCTCAAATCTTAAAGTGTCATCCAACATTCAGGCACTCCTGGTGGCAAAACCGACTCTTTGTGTTTCCGTGCAGTATGTAGGATGCGTCGTAGAAATGTGAAAAGGAATTAATTAAAACTTGATAAAGATTTGGGCTTTGTATTACAGAACGGTTTTTTAAATACAGTCACTTTGTGAAATCATATTTTCAACTAATTTCATCATATATATGTACAGACACACATAGTTCCTAAAACATCTAATAGTAGTTTTTTCTAACATCAGTTCTTGACTCCAAGCACAATTGCTCCAGATATAATAACAGTTATCGAATGTCGATAAAATATAAAAGGAATACAAAGTCAGCCTGCTATACAGACTATAATTGAACTCAATTTGGAGCTAAAGTTGATCTTAATGTCCAGGCAGGCTTTACAAATTGTATATTTTTAAGAAAGCATCTGCAGTCTTAACTACAAAAGCATTTTCTTATTGTTTGAAAGTACTTAAGATTTCGTTCTATCATATGAATCTGAACATTAACAGCTTGACATGTGTCGTCTAGCCATTTGATGTTATGATGTAGACTTTGTAACAGTTTCATAAACCTGTGAACTAATGAACCCTTCATACACCAGGTCACTCAGACAGAGATATGAATTGCAAATGACCCTCATAATATTTTCCCAGACACAAATCATTGTTGTAAGACACGTTGAGTGACAGAAGGACAACATGTTTAAGATTTTCCAATATGCATACCTTGACCATGTACATTGGAACACATATTTCACATTATTCACATATTATATGTATTTTACGTATGGTGTGTATGTATAATACTTTGGCCATAAGATAGTAAGGCAACGTCTGCACAGTTCACATCATGAACTGTTATTCAATACAAACAGCATGTGACTTTATTATTTCGCTTTCTGAGGAACAACATGTAACAAAAAAATCATATTGAGTCAGCTAAGAGTTGCTACAAGTCAAAATGTCGGTCTTTATATTATCAGAGCTAAACAGGCCTTTAAGGTTACATATTTCGTTTACGGTTTACAAAGGTGATATAAGGAGGATTAATAAATAAATTAATTAATAAAAAGACAGCAATATGACGAAGATTGATGTACAAATATCACACAATTATTATTGGATATTATACAGCGCACATATCCACTCAACTAGTACATGATCAAGGCGTTGTATTTTTCCTCGATCATTGGATGTCAATCTCAACGGCACATTGTATTATCAATCTCAACTCCCTGAGGAACATACAACTCTTGCAGCCACTAGGCCCATCAAATTATTGCGGCTTCCCCATCCATACGATGGGTACCCATTCACAGCTGGGTGGACTGGGACACATAGTCACAGGACATTGTCCAAGTTTACTGCACGTTGCTGTACCCGCAACTAGGTGTTTGCACGTATTCATGTGGCCACCATTTGGTCACATACCAACGGATTCGTGGGTTCTTTGAAGTGCACAGGGTTGTGTTCTGTACTCTAGGGGTTGTGACAACACTGAAAGAGTCTGCACACAAAGTTCAATCCAAGGTCTTTACACCCGGTCACAGGTGGACCCGATCCCGGCACCGCAAGCTCGATGGTTCACTAGCCTGGCGCCATAGACAGCTCTCCCACCATACATACTATGACCTGATTCCATATTCAAAGATAACAATACAACGAGGATTTCAAAGATAAGCTTATTCAGTGTAATGAAAGTGAAGTGAAGTGGATTTCATAACAGAAACCGACTAAGGTAGGTCTGACAATAAGTTGAATAAGCGAGTTTAGTTTTACGCCGCTTTTACAAAATCCACGGCGGGGGACACCAGAAATGCGCTTCACACATGACAAGATTAAAGCAAGGAACAGTACACACTGAGTGGCATAATGGCTGGTGACATTCCTTGACTTTACATCAAGAAGAAGAAGAAACCCAAAACAAACTAAGAAAAAGAAAACAACAACATTGTCATATACAGTTAACCTAAGATAAGATAAGATATGTCTCAGTCTCAGACTCAGACTCTTTGTTTCGTAGATGATGGCCCGTGAGGCCTAGGGTACAATTACATAAAGACCTCAAACATTGTGGTTTATTATACAAGCGCAAGGTTTGCATTACGGACATTAAACATTTTAGTTACATAAATTGCCGATTTTTAAAAATAGTAGGATCATGACTGGACAGTAATTGTATGATTTAGATGGGTACTTATGGTAATATTGTGGTATATACTTATCTCTTAAATGTGTGTATAATGGGCGTACTAATAGGGTATGGAATTCGTCTTCAAGGCCATCCCCACAAGACGGGCTCATTGCATCGGTTATCGCTCTTTAGATGATGTGATTTGGTTTAAATATGACTTCATTTGGAGGGTGCACGTGAAGATGTTAACACTGAAGATTCATGCACACGAGCAGACCAGTCTTGCATCCATACATCTTTCGTGATGCCCTGTTTGTCCTTAATGTCGGCACACGACATTACACCTAAAGGAAAATGTGTTCATGTTCGTTGAACTCGCTAATTGCGTAGCATTACTTCCTAAAGACATACATTGAAACTAATTCCTCAGTCACTGTGGCCTAGAATCAGATATGAGGAACCACATTAATATGGACTACAGTCCGTTTGATTTCATTTGAGACCGATGAATTGCTCACTAACACAAAACCAAAGTTTGCAAATTGTTCCAAATTGTCTGTCACATGAAATCGACAGACCAACTCTGATGATTTGTCTCATAATATTGGACACCCGAATTAAAATGTTGTTTAACAAACGATCAATATTTTGTTGCCACTTTTCGCTATTTTTACGTGGGGGAACCACTTGCTGGTAGAACAGCCAGGTGTGCGAGTTGCGAGTACACACGCTTGTTGATTACCTGGCTGTTGTACCAGCAAATGGTGCCCCCTCATAAAAATAGCGAAACGTTTTGCTGCAATTATTACATTTTGTGTTAGTGACCATCTCATTAATCAAACGGACTGCTGCAATTATTACTGGGACCCTCATTAATATGAACTACCACTACAGCGGCCACAAACAACATTCAGTTCATGACCTGTACTCCACGTGACCCTAATTTTATCTGTATACAGTATAGGTAGTGTGACAATGCATGTGTATCAACGAAGGAGATGTGTCCATTAGTTCTAGAACTAAGAAAGATACCAGCTATAAATAGTACATTTCGCGTCTGAAGCGTTAACAACGAAACGTGCTTGACCTCGTGTTTCTTGCTCGTATCCGTCGTGGGTTAAGTGTTATAGGGGACATAAATCACATTTACCACTTGCATGGACACCGTTTTGAAATATTTCCAAGCAGCAC